CTCAGTACATACCATGTTCATCTTTCTGGTTCTCAGTTTCTCAGGATGGCTTTTTCTAGTTCCATCCATTTGCATGCAAATGTCAAGATGTCACTGTTTGTTTGTTTTTTCCAATGAGTAGTACTCTAATGTGTAAATGTGCTTTATTTTCCTTATTTATTCTTTGGTTGATAGGCATCTAGGTTGTTTTCAGGTTTGGATATTACAAACAATATTGCTATAAACATATCTGAACAAGTGTCCTTGTAGTATGATTGAGCATCTTTTGGGTATATGCCTAAAAGTGGTATTGCTGGGTCCTGAGGTAGGTTGATTTTCCATTTTCAAGGAAACCACCATACTGAGTTCCAAAGTGGTTAAACAAGTTTGCATTCCCACCAGCAATGGAGGAATTTTCCTTTACTCCACATCTTTTCCAGTACAGATTATCTTTGGTGTTTTTGATCTTAGCCATTCTGACTGGTCATATCTCAGAGTTGTTTTGATTTGCATTTCCCTGATGGCTAAGTATGTCAAACATTTCCTTAAGTGTTTTTTTTTTTTTGCCATTTGAGCTTCTTCTGTTGAGAATTCTCTGTCTAGTTATGTATTCCATTTTTTACTTGGGTTATTTGGAATTTTGATGCCTAATTTCTTGAATTCATTATATATCTTGGAGATCAGTCTTTTATCTGATGTGGGTTGGTGACTATTTTTTTCCATTCTGTAGGTTGCCATTTTGTCTTATTTACTGTGTCCTTTGCTTTACAGAAGCTTCTCAGTTTCCAGAGGTTCCATATATTTATTGTTGCTCTCAGTGCCTGTGCTATTGGTGTTCTATTTAGGAAGTGGTCTTCTGTGCCCATTCATTGAAGGCTACTTCCCACTTTCTCTTCTGTCATATTCAGTGTGGTTGGATTTATATTGAAGTCTTTAATACCTCTGGACTTGAGTTTTGTGCATGGCGATAGATACGGATCTATTTTCATTTTTCTACATGTTGATATCCAGTTATACCAGCACCATTTGTTGAAGATGCTTTCTTTTTTCCATTGTATAATTTTATCTTCTTTGTCAGAAATCAGGTATTAATAGGTGTGTGAATTAAAATCTGGGTCTTTGATGTAATTCCATTGGTTCTCTTGTCTGTTTATATGACAAAACCAAGCTGCTTTCATTACTGTTGCTCTGTAATAGAGCTTGATGTCAGGGATGGTGATGCCTCCCGAGGTTCCTTTATTGTACAGGATTGTTTTGGCTATCCTGGGTTTTGATTTTTCATATGAAGTTGATTTTTGTTCTTTCAAGGTCTGTGAAGAATTGTGCTGGTATTTTGATGGGATTTCATTGAATCTATAGATTGCTATCGGCAGAACTGCCATGTTTACTATGTTGATCCTATCTATCCATATCATGGGCGATCTTTCCATCTTCTGGTATCTTCTTTAATTCTTTCTTCAAAGACTTAAAGTTTTTGTTAAATAGGTCTTTCACTTCTTTACTTAGTGTTACACCAAGATATTATTTGGGGCTATTTTAAAAGGTGATGTTTTTCTGATTTTTTTCTCAGCTTCATTTTCATTTGTATATAGGAGGGCTACTGATTTTTTTTTAGTTGAACTTGTATTCTGCCACATTACTGAAGGTATTTATCAGCCGTAGAAGTTCCCTAGTTGAGTTTTTGGGGTCACTTATGCATACTATCATATCATCTGAAAATAACAAAAGTTTGACCTTTTCCTTTCTATTTTGAATATCCTTAATCTCCTTTTGTTCTCTTATTGCTCTAGCCAGAACTTCAAGAACTACGTTGAACAAATATGGAGAGAGTGGACATCTTTGTCCTTGTTCCTGATTTTAGTGGAATCTCTTTGAGTTTCTCTATTTACTTTGATGTTTACTGTCTGCTTGCTGTATATTGCTTTTATTATGTTTAGGTATATTCCTTGTATCCCTGATCTCTCCAAGATCTTTATCACAAAGAGTTGTTGGATTTTGTCAAATGCTTTTTCAGCATCTAATGAGTTGATCATATGATTTTTTTCTTTCAGTTTATTTATATGGTGGATTACACTGATAGATTTTTTCATATGTTGAACCATCCCTGCATCTCTGGGATGAAGCCAACCTGATGATAATGGATGATTTTTTTTTGATGTGTTCTTGTATTCAGTTTGCCAGTATTTTATTGAGTATTTTTGCATCTATATTCATGAGTGAGATTAGTCTGTAATTCTCTTTCTTGGTTGAGCCTCTGTGTGGTTTTGGTATCAGGGTAACTGTAGCCTCATAAAAAGAGTTTGGCAATGTTCCTTCTGTTTCTATTATGTGGAACACTTTGAGGACTATGGGTACTCTTCGTGGAAGTTCTTGTAGAAATTTTCACTGAAACCATCCAGCTCTGGGCTTTGTTTGGTTGGAAGGCTTTTGATGAAAGCTTCTATTTCCTTGCAGGATATAGGTCAATTTAAATTGTCCTCCTTGTCTTGATTTAATATTGGTATGTGGTATCTTTCCAGAAAATTGTCAATTTCCTTTAAATTTTCTAATTTTGTGGGGTACAGGTTTTTGTAGTAGGACCTAATAATTCTCTGGATTTCCTCAGTGTCTGTTATTACGTTCTCCTTTTCATTTCTTATTTTGTTAATTTGGTTGTTCTTTCTCTGCCTTTTGATTAGTTTGCATTAGGGTTTGTCTATCATGTTTATTTTCTCAAATAACCAGCTCTTTAGTTCATTGATTCTTTGTATTGCTTTCTTTGTTTCTGTTTTGTTAATTTCAGACCTCAATTTGATTATTTTCTGTCTTTTACTCCTCTTGGGTGACTCTGCCTTTTTTTTATTCTAGTGCTTTCAGGAGTACTGTTAAGTCACTAGTGTGCACTTTCTCCAGTTTTATTATGTAGGCACCTAGTGCTATGAACTTTCCTCTTAGCACTGCTTTCAGAGTGTTCCATAGATTTGGGTATGTTGTGTCTTCATTTTCATTGAACTCTAGGAAGTCTTTAATTTCTTTCTTTATTTCTACTTTGGCCCAGGGCTGGTTCAATAGATTTAATTTAATTTAATTTAATTTATTATTAAATTATTTAATTTAATTTCCATGTGTTTCTGGGTTTTCTGAAATTGGCGTTGCTGTTGAATTCTTATTTTAAACCATGATACAGGGAGTTACTCTAATTTTTTTTGTTTCTGTTGAGATTTGCCTTTTTTTTTTTAACTGAGTATATGGGAAACTTTAGAGAAGGTTCCATGAAGTGCTGAGAAGAAGATATATTATTTTGTGTTTGGATGAAATGTTCTGTTGATGTCTGTTAATTCCATTTAAGTTTGACATCTTTTAGTTCTCTTATTTTTCTGTTATGTTTCTGTCTAATTGATCTATCCATTGGGGGAGTAGTGTAGTGATAGGGGCGGAGGGCTGCAGCCCAGCTCCTGGCTAGCTTTACCTGAAGTAATTACATGGAAACTGCATTCATTTAAACACTGCCTGGCCCATTATTTCCAGCCTCTTCTTGGCTAACTTTCACGTCTTGCCTAACCCATATCTAATAATCTGTGTATCACCACTGAGCTGTGGCTTACTGGGAAGATTTTAACCCACGTCCATCTTGGGCCGGAGCTTCATGGTGTCTGCCTGCCTCTGCTTTCTTTCTCCCAGAATTCTGTTCTGTCTACTATGCCTATCTAAGTCTGTTGTCCTATCAAAAGGCCAAGGCAGTCTCTTTATTAAGTCAATGAAAGTAACACATAGACAGAAGACCCTCCTACATCAGAGTAGGGTGTCTCCTACTATTAGTGTGTGGAGTTTGATGTGTAATTTGAGCTTTAGTAATGTTTCTTTTACATATGTGGGTACTATTTTATTTGGGGCGGAGATGTCCAGGATTAAGATTTCATATTGACCAATTGTTCCTGTTCAGAGTATAAAGTGTCCTTTTCCATCTCTTTTGATTGATGTTTCTGGTTCTCTTCAATGAAGAAACCTGTTTCTCTCATTTGCTACTTTACTTTCTTTACTTCATTCTCAATAATTTAACTTTAGATATAGCATTCCTGCTACTTGTCACATGTAAATGCTGTGTCCAGTACAGTGTGTGGGAACAAATCAGTCTCAAATCAGAATGGCAGCAGAGAGAGCTACCTCTCTCTCCTAAAGACTGCTGCCCCAACTGGCCTGACTTCTTGGAATGACTTCATCTCCACAGGTCATAGAAGGACACTAGGCCTCTTCCTGCACCTAGTGTGACTCTTGGTGAAAACCACACTGAAGTTCCCAGAGGACAAAGTCATACACATGTTAAAGATTAACCAAAAAATTTCCCCCAAAAGTCAGAAAACAAACAAACAAAGAAAAACTCTACAAGACAGGTCAGCTGATTAGAACTCCCATGAAGTTCTTATGAAGGCTTAGAACCTTAAGACCTAAAGCCAAATGACCCCAACTGTCATTGCCAGCTTTAGTTTCTGAGCCAGAATCCTGTCTGTGCCTATCATGTGAAACCATTTGGAATGTACTGACTTGCCAAAACGCTAACACCCACAAACTAAAATCTTTCCATGTCACCAGACAGCATCTGAGAACCATGGCTGAGATTTTCCCACTTTCTATAACCTGAAACCCTGATGACTCCACAGTGTAGTTGAAAAATGCCTAGAGTTATGACTTATGACTTGATTGTGCTTTGTAAGTTTCCATGAAACTTTGGAATATGTCCACCTGAGTCCATGTTCCTGGGCCATGGTCACTCACATTAAGCTCCAGAATAAGCTGTACCTTATTCCCCTGAAGCAAGAGCCGTATTTGGTTTTGAGAGATACATGAGTGCATGTGGTTGCAAATACAGCTGTGCTGAACATTTGAAACTCTCCTGGACACTTGTATGACCTAGACTTAAATTTCTTTGGACCACTAATTTTATTATGTCATAATAAAGGAGATGAAAAGATAAAACTGTATTGTGCTCTTTATTTTTATGTAATTTTAAATATGCATAAATTATAACGAAAATACACAGTTAATTCAATATGCCATTTATCTCCATTCATGTCTTGTTGAGTTTGTTAGCCACCATTTTTTTCTAACTCAGTCAATCTCTTAACAGTTGAATACCTCATGACCATTTTGTTCCCAATATGGCATAATTTTTATTAAGACTATTGTAATTTTTAAATCTCAAATGATTTCAATAGATTTCAGTAGATTTAAACTATCTTTTTCAGGACCCATCTTTTCTTGTGTACTTGTAAATTTAATATAAAATTCTTCTGAAACCCTCTATTGCTCTTCTGGAATGCATTTGACTTTCATTCTAGAAGTTGCTACTGATATGTGTATGAATGAAGACACAGTCCCATGTAGCTTCTCAGGTCTCTTGATGAAGTATTTTAACACTAACTACTAATAAAAGATATTTATGGTATATAAGTTTATATTCTTTAGCTATCAAAATAAGTGAAGAAAAATTACTGATGAACTTAGCATGCATCATGAAATATTTGTTGTTGGAAAGCATAATTGTGGGTGATTTGGTGATGCCCAAAATCAATTTTACCGTATATATAAAATGATAAACATATACATGACTCATTTAAAAATATTTCAATACTCCCCAAAATAAAATTCAAGACACTGAAAAAAATCCTATTGTCCAACAAAATTAAACAACCACTATCAATTTCATAAAATGTAATATCAAAAAATACAAGTAAAGAGTTTGAATGTGCAAGAAGGACATCAGTGAGGATATTTTCAAATAGAGAAGCAATTCTCCCAAAGGGATGACCATGCAATGATGCTTGAGGAACAACATCAGCATGAGACCTGGAACAACAGATACATGGAGGCAAAGGAAAGAAACCATTGAGTCCAATTACTTTACTGTTTCTTGAAAGAGGGTTTGACACCCAACAACTTCTTCAGAGCCTCTGTGACATTCTTATTCCTCAGACTGTAGATCAGTGGGTTCAAGAGAGGGGTGAGTATCGTGTAAAACACAGACACCACCATGTCCTTCTCAGGGGTGTGGAAGGAGGCAGGGAGCATGTAGGTGTAGACGGCAGCACCATAGAAGAGGATGACCACGGTCATGTGTGAGGAGCAGGTGGCGAGGGCCTTCTTCCTGCCCTCTGCCGAGTTCATCCTGAGAACTGTGAGGAGGATGAAGGAGTAGGAGCTTGAGATGACTGTCACAGGGATGAGGAGCATGAGCACACAGCACAGGTACATGAGGGTCTCATAGAGCCAGGTGTCTGCGCAGGAGAGCTTTGTCACAGCTGGGACCTCACAGAAGAAGTGATGGATTTCCCGTGATCCACAGAATGGAAAGGTCATGGTGACAGGGGTGAGCATGAAGCCATCCAAGGATCCCAGGAACCAACAGACAGACATCAGGAGGAGACACACCCTGCGGTTCATGAGGACAGGATAATGGAGTGGATGGCAGATGGCCACATAGCGGTCATAAGACATGGCAGCCAGAAGGAAAAATTCTGAACCTACTAGTGTCAGATATAGGAACATCTGCATCCCACAGGCAGCAGTTGAGATCTTGTGGCTCCCCAGGACTTGGTCCATGAGCATCTTGGGCACAGTGACAGAAATGTACATCATGTCCATGAGGGACAACTGGCTGATGAAAAAGTACATGGGTGTGTGGAGCCGGGTGTCAGAGTGTATCAGAAGGATCAGGAGGGCATTGCCAGACAGCGCCATCAGGAAAACCACAAATATGACCACAGCAAGTATAGTTGGGTATTTGGATTGACTGAAGAATCCCACCAGGGTGAAGTCTGATTCTCCAGTGTAGTTGTTAATCCATATGGTGATGTTCATGGGTGTCTTTTAGGCAACCAGCAATGCTCTGGGCTTAGTGGCAGCTTACTGATGTGTGCAAAGGCCTAGCGGCCTGAGAATATTCCCTGGGCCAATAGATCTAAGAGTTATAATCTACCTATAATAAGCAAATTAAAAAAGCAAGAATTCGCACCTGTGGTTAGAGCCATCACAAGTCAGACTAGAGCTACTGCAGTTCATGGTCATGGTCTTTCCTGATGAAAACTACTGTCCTCTGTCAAAAAGTTCTTGATTTTGCAGGATAGTTTTTGCTAGTAGCAAAAATAGTGAATCAATGTGCAAAGCAAAGAAACGAAAACCAATGAGAGTCAGATGCAAATAAGCAAACACATTATTAAGAATGTTAATGAATAAAGTATTTTAAGAACCATTTTATATTTGCTTTTAATATTAGCACACTATGAGAGATGCAATCTCCACTTTCATATTCATTGAAGAATGTGGCTTTAAAAATAATATGGTAAGAAATCTTCACTGAAAAATGCACACAGTCCATTTAAAATTGAATTTGAAGTTTCTTACATATACTTGTTTTAATATGTAAATGGTCTTTAAATATACATTCATATAACGGTAGTCATTTATAAGTATAGATACAACAATACACGGAACATGCTTGCTGGGGCTAGAGAGATTGTTCAGTGGTTGGGAGTGCTAGCTGCTCTTCCAGAGGACTTAGTTTCAAGTCTCAGCACCCACACGGCAGCTCACAGTTGTCCATAATTGCTATTCCAGGATCTCTGACACCCTCATACACATAGACATACTGCACAAATGGCAGAACACCAATGTACATAAAATTCAAATAAATATTTAAAGAGAAAAAATATGCTTGTTCATCAAATGCTGCTTAGACTGTGATAATGGGAAGTCTCACCCTTCTCTGGCTTTTGCTTCTCCAAGTTCATCTCCTCTCAGGGTCCACCATTGTCTTAGCAAGAGGTAGAGGACTTATCAGTCACTGCTTGTGCCCAGGACAGGGTGTGGCAGCAGGATCTCTATGGACAGTCAGCCAATTGTTCATGGAGTCTGGAGAAGCAGAGAGAACACAGCCCTGAGATGTCCCTCAATGTGGTTCGCCATTCCCTCTGTTACACCCTCACAGCCTTCTCTGTGCTTGATGTAAATATATACATATGTATGTATGTATGCATGCATGTGTGCGTGTGTGTATTTAAGGAAACCGTAACCATGATTGCAACAAACAACGTCAGTATCCATCTGTGCTAGGAAAATAGTACATATATGAACTAAATTTGAAGGTTTAAATAGGTACACCATCGTGAGAAACAGCAGCAGACAGAACGTACCCAGCCTTTCTGAAAGACTCAGTGAACGCCTCTTCCACATGTGCTTCTCAAAGAGAGGAACTATTTAAAGTTTTTTTCTGAACTAGTAGATACTGCATTTTGATAGCTCAAATCAATAGGAAACTAATGAAATCTTCTCTTTCTGAGATGTTAGCATTAATTAGTTACAAGCAAGGGGCTGCTAAGACGAAAATCAGAAGTCCCAGGGATATTTTACATCTATGTCAAGATTCTACAAAAACAAAACAAAACAAAGACAAAAACCCACCTGAAACTGAAGTCCTTAAAGGGTCATGTTCTGCCAACTTGCTGATGGAGCAGAGAACATGGCCAAGTTCTTGATGCTTTCATATAAATGTCAGAGAAACTTGAATCTATGGAAGGAGGTGAACAGAGATAAAGAGACAAATAGACAGAAGAATGGGAAGACACATGACAGATTTCCATTTTAAGAAGAAGACTTAAAGGAAACTTACATTAATTAAAAAACTGATGCTGGACAGTACCTGCTGAACTCAGGTTATATTCATGGACACAGTGCACAAGAACTACAGAGGGTGCCACAGTCGTGGAGAATCCCTGAACAGTGTCTGCTGGGTGAGCAGACATCAGGAGGCAGGTGAGGCATAAGACAGTGAGCTGGAAAGGCAGTGCACTCTGCTAAGTGGGGGACACTGAAAACAGGGCACCCAGAGACCATGTGACAGGAAAGTGGTGACTGCCCACAGCATGGGACCAGCAGCTGGCTTTTCCTTACACCTGTTGTGCTGTTTGATTTCATGTGAACAGCTCGGTGCACTGTTAACACTGGGTGTTACTAACAGTGAAGGCAGAAAAATGACAAAGCATCATTCCAAGCCAGCAGCATCCATGATCCACCCTGTGCATGCAAAGCAGTCACCGTGTTTCCTTCCCTTACAGTGGAGAAGCTCAGGGTCTCAGCATCTGCCTCACATCACACAATAGCACACAGTATGAGAGCTTAACCTAAGGGTAGTAACAGAGTGGTACCTGCCTGCTTCTGTGGGAAACACCATGTCTCCAGGAATTTATAGTTTCTATGTAGATCACCCACAGTCTGTTTTATATGTTGAGCCATGAATAAGGTTAAGACAATTATTTTTTTCATTACTACAACACTAAATTTTGCCCACACTGGAAGTGAAATTAACCACAAAAGAGACACTTTTGGAAAACTAATGGATTATAATATGAACCCTAAAAATACAGAAAGAAGTGTACTTTTATTGGCGATGCCTACTAAAATTCTAGCACTTGTGAGACTGGAGCAGGGGGATCAGCAATGAAATCAAGGTAGTCTTGTGAGTGTGTGTGTGTGTGTGTGTGTGTGTGTGTGTGTGTGTGTGTGAAAGAGAGAGAGAGAGAGAGAGAGAGAGAGAGAGAGAGAGAAATACATATTGCTTCATTTTTAACTTGAAAGTGCTGAAGGGAAATATGAGGGAGAAACTGGGTGTGGAGGTACACTCCTTTATTCCCATCGCTGGGAAGACAGAGGCATATAGATTTCTCAGTTCAAGGCCAGCCTGGTCTATGAAGCATGTTCTACAATCCAGAAAACCAAAAAAACTAAAGAGGAGATAAAAGAAGGCAGAAATTTATTTCTACACATGAAAATGAGGGAATAAATGGTAATCAAACTGCTTGAAGAAGGAACCGACTGTCTAGCATCTTCCCTGTGCCATGCATTCTTTCCTGACAGGTGGACTCACCATCAGATGCAGTTGCAGCCTGGGTCATATCGACCAAGGGACAGCAGCTGGTTAAGTGCATAAGGCACAGGAAGCAAGTGACGTCATCCTGGCTGTACTCTGCTCATTCCTGGATAAAGAATTGTTAATAACTCCCCTGTGGAAATACAGGACAACATATCAGTACAAATGCTTTAGTTGAAAATGTGAAGATTTATATTGCCATCATGTGAACAAAAGTCACACATCAGAAAATCACACCAGTCTTACACTGCAGACATCTGTGAAGGAAGGGAGAGAAAGGTCTTAGAGGAGAGGTGAGAGTAGAGTATGGTGACACAGAGGACAGAAGAGTGATGGGGAAGGAATTTGAAGTAGGGAAAGGGATGAGAGTGAGGATGGAGAGAGAATAATTAACTCTAAGGATGTCTGAAAAGGTTATATTGAAAATACTTGCAGCTGGGTAAGTGGTGGCACACGCCTTTAACCCCAGCACTCAAGAGGCAGAGGCAGAGACAGGTGGATTTCTGTGAGTATGAGACCAATCTGGTCTTCAAGAGTCAGTTCCAGGATAGCTAGAACTGTTAAACAAGAAAACCCTGTCTGGCAACACCCTGTCAAAAGAAAGTCTTGCTGTTCTTCATGTATTCATATGGATTTACATAGTCTATACAAGAGACATGACTCCCAGAAATCATGGACTGCCCAAAAGTCCAGTGCCAGGTGTGAGATATCTTTTGTTGACTTGTTTCTTATGCCTGTCCTGCAGACTCTCAAAAACTACACAGGCTGTGGTCATTGCTCTTGGTTACCTCCTAGAACTTGGTGGTAAGACATTAATTCAGAAGACACCACACAGACGGTTCACAAGACATGGGGGAAAAAGTTAGTAAGGACAGGAGGTGTCCCCCTGCTGGCTAGCTTCCACAGCACCTGAAGCTGCCTTGTAGATGGTTGCTGACTTTTCTGCCCCCAAAGCCTACATGGCACTCTTGGTACAACAAAGGGCATTAGCAGGGATGAAGGTGAGCATAACTTTGTTTCTCCATATCCTGTGACCAGAATGTGCAGTGTCTTAAGACTATGAATTTTGTCCCTGAGACTGTAATATAAATATCCACATTTTCCCTGAAGTCATTTGTACTCATAGATTGCTCTGTAATTCTCATGTCACTATTTACATGAAATAAGCATTCAGATTGATGCAGTCCTATAGAAAACGGCTTGTGATTGACAGCAGAGCACAGGAATGACATGATAAGGAGAGGACAAGATGGGAAATGAAGGATGGGACTTTTGGTCAGTCTGTTGGACACTAGTAAGGGCAGTGTCTATGACTAACAGATGAATTCCAATGTAACAGGAAGAACGGGCCTGCTTTTCATCCCAGCTGCCTCGCTAGCTTACACCCAAAATAATCACACAGAAACTGTATTCATTTAAACACTGCCTGGCCCATTAGTTCTAGCCTCTTATTGACTAACTCTCACATCTTGATTCAACTCATTTCTAATAATCTGTATGTAACTTCGACATCATGGTTTACCAGGAAAGATTCAGCATGTCTGACCTGATAGCTCTATGGTGCCTCTCTCTCTCTCTGTCCTTCTTCCCAGCATTCAGTTCTGTCTACTCTGCCTACCTAAGTGCTGCCCTATCAAAAGGGCAAGACAATTTCTTTATTCAACCATTGAAAGCAACACATAGACAGAAGGACCTCCTACACCACTCCAAGGTTTGGAGTCCACACCCGTGAAAATTACTGGAAGTTTGTATGAACACACACACACACACACACACACACACACACACACACACACACACAGAGGTGTGCGTGTGTGCATGAGAGGGGGGGAGAAACAGGTCGAGACAGTAAGACAAGAGACAGAGAGGGAAAACAAACTCTAAGAACTGCCCTAGGCTATGACTATGAATTGCCTTACTTATGTATCTCCTGTTTTATATTTATCTACAATGTTCATATTTCAGATCTTTAATTCTAGTTACAATTACACTTTTACTAATCTGGAAGATTTAAAAGGAGGGAACGGCAAATTCCACAGGAGCAGGACTGAGCCAGTGACCTAGGCTGGAACAGGCCTGAGGCAGTGAACTTCACAGGATCTGGACTGAGCCAGCAGCCTGGGCTGGAGTGGGCCTAAGGTAGCAAACTTCAGAGGAGCAGGTATAGGGGAGTAACTGCTGAGGGAGTGGGCCAGAGCCAGAGGCCTTTGCAGGTTCAGGAATGAGTCTGGGACCTATGAGGGTGTAGGCAAGAACCAGAGACCTCTGCAGGTCCAGGTGTGAGTCTGAAACCTCTGAGGGAGTAGTCCTGAGCCAGGACCTCTGTGGGATCAACCCCAGGCCAGAGACCTCTGCAAGGGCATATCCAGACTGGGGACATTTACAGAAACAGTTCTGAGCAGGTAATCTAAACCAGAGCATGCCTGAGATAGCAAACTCCATGGGAGCAGAGCAAACCCTGGGAGTGTTGAACAACCTCCAGGAACACAGAGTGACCAATGGGGTGGCTGGAATTGTGATACTGACTTCACCACAGGAAGCAACCATCTGAGCCTTGAATCTACCATCACTTGAAGACTGATCACCAGAGTCACCCAACTACACCCAACTACACCATTTAGAGGAAGATATGTGTAGACAGGGTAGAAACAGATGCAACAGCACAAAGAGGTGTAAAATCTAGTGGCCGTACAGCAGCAAGACTTGAACAACCAAATATAGATAAGAAAACAACCTAAAAAACAACTTCAGGAGAATATTTAAAACCCTTAAAGAGGAAATGAGAAATTCCTTCAAAGAAATGGAGGGAAAGACAAACAAAAAAATGGAAGACATCAACAAATCCTTTAAAGAAAACCAAGAAAAAGCAATGAAGCATATGAAAGAAACTATTTAAAACTTGAAAACTGAAATAGAGACAATAAGGAAAACACAAGTCAAGGGAATTATAGAAAGAGAAATTATGAGAAAGTGATCAGGAACCACAAACACAAGCATAAACAGCAGAATACAAGAGATGGAAGCTCTCTTGCTTCTCAAGCACTGAAGATACAATAAAGCAAATAGACTCATCAGTCAAAGAAAACATTAAATCTAACAAAAGTTTGATGCAAAATATCCAGGAAATATGGGATGCCATGAAAAGACCAAACTTAAGAATAATAGGTATACAAGGAGAAGTTCAACTCAAACGCACAGAAAACATATTTAACAAAATCATAGAAGAAAACTTTCCCAACCTAAAGAGAGATATGTGTATGAAGATAAAACAGCTTTCCGAACACCAACTAGAATGGATCAAAAAAAAAAAAAGCCAAACCAAACCAATCCAAACCAAAACAACAACAACAACAACAAAAACCAGGTCCCTCACCACACAATAATCAAAACACTAAACATACAGAATAAAGAAAGAATATTAAGAACTACAAAGGAAAAAGGCCAAGTAACATATAGAGGCAGACCTATCAGAATTACACCTAACTTCTCATTGGAGACAATAAGAGTCATAAGGTCATGGTTAAGTGGTATGTAGACATTAAGAGACTATGGATCCCAGCCCAGACTACTATACCCAGCAAACTTTCAATCAATATAGAAGGACAAAACAAGACATTCCATGACAAAATCAGATTTCACCAGTACCTAGCCACAAACCCAGCCCTGCACAAAGTACTAGAAGAAAAACTCCAACCCAAGGAAGTTGGCCACATAAATAAAAGCACAGACAATTGATGATCTCACAGCAGCAAATCCCAAAGAAGGGAAAATACACAAAATAACATCACCAACAACAAAAACTAAATTAACAGGAGATAGTAATCACTGGTCATTAATATCCCTTAATATAAATGGACTCAACTCACCAATAAAAAGACACAGTCTAAAAGATTGGACTCG